TGCAAAAGAAGCTTTTTAGTATCTATTTTTTATCTATACTTCGGGTACATAAAAAATCAGACATATTTTCGAAGTTATATCAACGAAATTAATACTTGAAGAAGCTCTCGGAGATTAAACGTCTTGGAAAAATTTCTGATTAAAAAAAAAGTAATATAAACAGGAAAAAACGGCGTGAGAGTAATGTCGTAAAGCGCGGGGGAGAGGGGGTAGCCGAAGAAGCGGGTCGTACGGGGCCCTTCGCCTTCTTCGCTGAACTTGACCGAGTTTCCTCGTTCATCGGGTAACCGGGCAAGGTATGTAAAGTGGACAGCATTCATCCTTGAACATTGAATCAGCATGTAACATGATTAGGTCATTAACGCCCTAACCAAGTTAGCATAGTGCGAGGGACTTCGCTCGCCACGCTTACCCCGGGTCGGTACGACCTGGTAGGTATCTACGTTCGTTCATAAAGCCGGCGCCGCGACGCCGCGCCGCGCCGCGCCGCACCGCGCGGCAGGCGACGAAGACGACGACGATGACGACGGCGAAGGCGGCCAACGGCGGCCACGGAGTTCTCGCGTCGGAGGTCGAAAGTTCGGCGGATCGCGCCTTCCCGTCGAATATCGAATTTTGCCGGCAATGAAAGGCGATACGGGAAATCGAGTTTCGGCCGTTCCGACGCCGTTTCGGCGCCGTGCCTGAATTTTCGTCGTCTTTACGGGGCGGACAATACGCGCGGAGAGAGAGAGAGAGAGAAACGCTGACTTTTTCCCACGTGTGAAAAGCGTTTACGCGCCCGGACGTCGTTAACGGAGTTTGTTTATTACGTTGGGGCCTGGGGAAACTGTCAGGTAACTCGGTTTGGCCGCGGAAAAAAGAATTCTCTCCCTGGGTTCTGGTACCATTGCGCTCTTTCGCGGGCCACTTCTCGTTTTGAAATGGACGATCGCGGAATTATGCCGAGTTTGTTTACGTATATATTCGCGGATCGTCGAGAGAAATTCTTCTTATTTCAATAAGCGCGCGATCGTAATTGCCTAAAAAGAAGGAGAATGTAGGCTGAATCTTTTTCAGGATGGAACGATATATCGCTTTCCGCATTACGCAAGATGAATTATCTAGGCAAGTTATTTTTACAATATAAATGAAATTACGTACAACTTAACACGTTGTTATTACGGTATCTAAACGACATGCAATTTTGCTACTCAATATATTATTTGACCCGCCACTAATACGCCATTAAAATAATTTCAAGCGCAATCGGCGGATAATTCAATTCGTGAAATGCGCGAAGTAATTACACACTCACGCGAAATACAATTGTGCAATTCAATGTTAATGAAGTTGAAATTTATCTGACGTCATCGACACAGACATTTATCGCAGTTTAACATAAAGCAAATAATACGATGGCGTAAATTTCATTTCTCTTTCTTTTTTCTTTCGAAAAAATAGCATTTTTTTTGAAAACATAATTGGACAACAGTCTTATTCTGGTTTCGTGAAAATGTTACAAGTCGCTTTTCTCCTTTTCTCAGGAGCCGAAGGCGCTTTTAAGAAGTTAAAGCCCGACCCCTGCGCCTCCAGTCCTCACATTGGTCACACACCTACCACAGCTAGCTGTCCAACACCCGCCCGACGGCGACACAGGACTACCTTCACTCAGGTTGGTATAATATTTGCGAAGCTATTTTTTTAAATTATTAGAAGAGGATTCTTGCGAGTAATCGAAGATGTCTTTCTTGGTGTCTCTTCTTCGGTATCTTTTCTCGTCCTTGCGTTGACATCTCAGAAACGTGTGCGTTCCTTCGGAGAACGTCGGCCCTTTGATCGTTAACGGCATTTCGATTACCTCCAATCTTTCGTACCGCGTCGAAATTTCCTGCCGGACAGTCCAAATCGGCCTTTACCACGGCTTTCCAATTGTTTCGCAGGAGCAGCTGGCAGAATTGGAATCGGCGTTCGCAAAATCCCATTATCCGGACATATACTGCAGGGAGGAATTGGCGAGGACTACCAAATTGAACGAGGCCAGAATTCAGGTGAGTGCGCTGCTTCTCGCTGTTATGAGAAAAATAAACCGGTTTTTTTCTTTCGTTTCGAGAGTTCCGAAAAATCATCCCCATATGTACGATCCAATCCGTAGTGAACAATACTGTTTCAGTGTATTTGAAAAAGATTAAAATCTAGCGTCGGTTTTTGATAATCCAAATAGGTTTAATTGATAGATAAGCCACGATAGATTTATTACCTAATTTTTGGACATTATATTTGTTATATAACGCTCGTGTGTTAAGGGTAGATGTTTAAAATTTTGCAGCGAGGATCGTGCTTTGTTGGCCGACGTTCGGACGAGGCCGAAAAATTTATAGACATACTTATCTCCTGCCTATCTTTTTGACTGTGACTCACTGTGTAATTGAATCAAAGACGCATGTGGGGTGACGAAATGAAATTACGAGCGCAAATGTCGGTCCAAGACACCCTATATTCTTTGAGGGTCGTGGGATCGATCAGAGGGGACGGAGAGGTTTTTCAACATACTTTTCGATATACACCGAAGAATCTGCGTAAACTGTGAACGATAAAATTTGACGGTGTTCTTGGCTTCGATCGAGACAAGAAACACATTTGGGGTATTCCATTTTTTTAAATACAATATATATTTTTTTATACGAAGAAAAAGGATTGCGTATATACATATTACGGGAAATTATGGCATTCAAAATTTTAATTTCTTCGACATGGAAAACGCGAATTCTACGACAGCGGTGCGGTTTGTGATGACATTAAGAGCGGAGGATTTGGTAATGAGAGGTAGAAAGGGGTTGTCGGGGAGGTGGTGGAATGGACGGGATGCGGAATGAGGGGGTGAGAGAGCGAGAGAGAGAGAGTGCAGGACCGGTTCGCGTACGCACCGGGGCACCGAATTCCGAGCCGAGCGGTACATATTAAAACAGTCGCCGGTACGTTGCGCTCTTTTGATATATAATGCAGCGGGGTGTTGTTTGAGTTAAAAGCCCGGGAACCGCCGCGACTTAACCCTGTTAAACTGCGATGCCAAGTAAAACGCGGTTTGCGCTCGTCGCTCGCCGGTTATAACCGATGCACAAAGTGTCCGCCGCCGAGGGCCGTGCGCCCGCGAGGAGCCGCGCAGCCCGCGCGTCGGATGGTCCTGTGCTCGTTTCGACCTCAAACGCGAGAAAGAGAGAGCGAGAGCGAGAGAGAGAGAGAGATCGGTAGAGAGGGGGTGGATTTCGCAGTTTTAAATGTCATTTCCAGTCGCTGGTTTTCCGGCGCGCGGCTGCCCCAGAATCGGCCAATTATCTGTAACCTGCAAAGCGCGCGCCGTAATTAACGCTCGCGTCGTCGCGGATTTGCTCGCGCGTTTCGACTACTTTCGACGAACGACAGCTTTACCTCAAGCGGTGAGTCTCTCTCTCTTTCTCGATAGCTTTATGCCACTGGGAAGTGCTCTCGGTCCCGCTGGTTTCTTACCCCCCCGCGCGGTAAATTAACGTTCACCATCGAGTCCACTCGCATTCGTTTCTGAAATTCACGATATTCTGCGAGCTATAAATATCTAATGTAAAACCCCGTTTAATCACATAAATAATAAACGCGTTTTGTTAACGATTATGTTAATAACTATCGGCGCATTAAATACCTAAAAAGGTACTTAAAATGGATCGCGAATCGGTTGATTACTCCCGATATAACGTTAGAGCGAAATTAGTTCTTCAGTCTTAATTAATCCTGCGCACGGAGTTAAAAATCCCCCAAAATAGCGATCGGTTATTGCAAAATGGCGTTCGATTGTAATCCAATTCGGACACATCAATTTCGATACGAGGTAATATCGATGAACCGCAATACAAAGTACCTAATACTATCGCGAAATTCGGAGAGAAACTCCCTCCTACCGTTTCGTACGCGGACGCGGAGGGCGAACGAAAATTTCGCCGTCCCCTGGAGGAATCGAAGGGCCGGTTTAGGGTTTGGGAAAGGTATCCATCGCAAGACAGGGGTTCTCAGCGGAGGAAAAAGACAGGATGGCGGCCGTAGGAAGAAAAGGGGGCCCTTGTCTCTCTCTCTCTCTCTCTCTCTCTCTCTCTCTCTCTCTCTCTCTCTCTCTCTCTCTCTCTCTCTCTCCCTCTCTTTCTTTCACTCTCTCTCGCTCCCTCGCTCCTCCGGTGTTCTTTCTAGAGCCCCTCGCCCCCTCCCGTCCTCCTACCCCCGCGTCACGGCGCCATTTCGCCCTCGTCGTCGCTCGTCTCGTAGTGGAAGGAATAGCAAGCCCGGCAAGCCTGAGACGTTTCAGATCTATCTAGGGTGGAGAAAATTCAATTTAAAATGGCGGCTCAGATATAATGGCAGCCTCCGGTACAGCGTCACCCAACCCCCTGCGCGCCCAACTCATCTCAACTTTGCCACCCTCGTTCGCCGTCTATTTCTCTCTCGTCCTCGCCGCCTCCGCAGCCCGTGTCGCTATCTTTGAGGAAACAGAATGCCGTGACTAGCGCGGTAGCTTTTAAAGGGACGAACTCTCTCTTCCTACATCCAGTGATGTCGCCCGATTGGCGCGGCGCTCGCTAAAAAATACATTGATCCCGCGCCCGAGACGCGCGCGTTGCCGCTCGTGACTTCTTTCGCGAGATACGCATACGGTCTAAACGGCACGCAAACGTTTTGAAGACACTATTAATAGTCCCTTCTGCTCGAATTATTGACCACAATAATATAATATAGTGTATGAATTTTATCCCTTAAATTGTGATATATATAACTTTGGATGATTGTGCGAATTTCAACAATTATGAAATATTTTTAGACAAGAATAGATCCTCCTCACGAGGTTGCAGTTAAAGTTTCTATGCAGATCGGTCTCTAACGGTAGCACAAATTTCCTACGCGATTTGCAATTTCTCTAAACGCGCAAACGCGTTATTAGTGCACGTTGAATGAGCGTTTTCCAGGCGAAACATGGTGCACCTTGCGCGGGATCGTTTCCGTCCGTTTATGTCATTTCGAGTGAGGTTTGCAGGAAACTTGGTAGGAAGACGTAATGTGCTCCGTATACACAGGCATGCAAATAAATTTAATAGCAGGGTAAAGCAAAACTCTCGGTCGGAACGAATGTTTTCCACGATTGCTCGACAATTGCAAAATGAAAATGGAGTAGTTGTGATTTTATTGAATTATTTTTCTAAATTTTTTTTAAGCAGGTAGTGCGGAAACTTATTTTCCGTTTATTCTTTTATGTAGATTTATTTTAATAGAATTTTTTAAATTAAAGTGTTTGATGAGAAGGGTAGCGAAAATATTAACCGTGTATATTGAAAAAAAAACGGCACGACGTGTTCCATCGTTAAAGTCGTCGTTATAATGTATGCGGAGAGATCGCGTAAAGTATTTGTGACGGTAACGATAATAATAGTAAAAAATCGGGTAACACCCGATGGTAAGAGAATAATTCTCGAATCACCGCACAAGAAATCCCATTACGCCGAGGAAAAAGAAAGGAGGAGCTCCGAGCTCCGCGATATTGAGTTAGCCGAGTTTTCATTCGACCTTTTTACTTCGATTCGACTTCCGATCGAAGCCTACCTGCCGGTCGTTTTACGAGAAAATCGGCTTCCTATTTGACAGGAAACAAGAAAATTTCTGGGAGTAGTAAAAATAGCTGGCGAGCACCGTGCTCCTCGGTCTTACTTTCCGCGTTTATGAAGTAACTTACGATTGAATACAAATTATTAATTATTTCGTGGTATTTAATTATCGCTGAGCTTATTGATGCGTAGAGATAACTTTCTCATTATTCTGATTTCGATGTGAGGCAATCAAATGAATCAAATTCCTGAGTCCTGAATCAAATCCCTCAATTTAAAGATAAAAAAGTTCGAATAGATAATAATTATTCAGTTTAAATTTGATATGATGATATATGAAAATATAAAAGATGATGTAGTTTTCTTAATTAAAAGACTTAATAATTTATTTCTTCATACATAATTATACATGGAATTGCGCAACACAAAATTAATTAAAATTTTCAGAATTCTTGCTTCTGTTTTGTATGATTTAATGTATCTTAATAACGGTATATTGATTTGATGTGATAAAGATAGTTTGCAACGCCATTAGTATAATCCTCAAATAGAATATTATTTGTCAGTTCTCCAAAGAATCCTAAATTCTCAGCCCTAAATGAATCTCATTGCCAGTTCTGGATTGCGTAACTACTTATTCGATTGTCGTACACGGTAGCTCATAGCTTCGAAAATGAACGCGCAAGTAGTATACATCCTTATATTACACAAATATTACGCTCTTCTCCGGTTTTTCGACGAAAAAGCCATTACCGGGAATGTATCCATTTTCCCGGGTTAGTATATGTGGGTTAGCTATCAGAGTGCAGTATTCTCTCAGGCATACGGGAGGATAGTTTTCTCGGTCGCGGTCCTCAAAGTAGCAGACATTTTGAGCCGCGCACCCCCCGTGGGACAGCCATCTCGCTCCTCCACGTCCTCTTTCTCCCTATCCGGTCTATCTTTCTCTATGAGGCGAACGTGGCGGGAGGAGAAGAGAGCGCGGTTATTGAATTACGAACTCTTAGCTTTCCAGTTCTTGCAGAGTGCGCGCCTTAAGGGACGCGGGCGCGCTCGCTCGCGCGCGCAAGTATGTTCTCTCGAAAAGCTCTTCTAGGGAAGGAGCAAATAAAAGGAATCGCCCTTTTACCGGATCTCTTCGGGCAACCTGTTCTACCCGCTCCGTAAATGCGTACGGTACGTATAGGGTGTGTACCAGGCAGGGAAACCTAAGGGCGCCGTAGAAAATTTCGAGTATTTGGAGTTGAAAATTTTCGGCTTAACGAAGACGTAACGAGGAATACTGAATAGAAATATAAAGCCTGAAATAAATTATCGTCAAGAATTTACTTCGTGGAATAAATATCGTGTGCCGTTAATTTTTTTTATTCCCCTGAAGCTTGATTTAAGTGAGACGAACCCTATTTTCAAGCGCTTGCAGCCGTCGCGTTGTGACCAAAGGATTATCGGTGTCTCGTCATTTTTGCATTTGTGATAACTGCAGATTTCAAACTGTCCGTCCAGTTTTCGCCAATTCTCAAACGCTTCGTATGTATATAAATATTTATATGACTATTCACAACCGTATTCTCGATAGAGTGAAGATGCGTTTCGTTTTGGATTTTAGGGAAACACGCGGTATCGGGCTAAACGAAGCGTAGACAATGTCATTTGCATATATGCACATCGAAAATACAAGCACGTAGACGAAAAATTTCCCGGGGAGAATTACGTACGGGAATGGAGTTCTTATCGCAAATTTTCTGAAAATCGCCCTGGCGAAAATATTAATGACAATCATTGGGCTATTCACACATTCGTACATTCAATAAATATAAAAAAAAATTAAATACTTTAATAGTTTAATAAAAACTAACAGTTAAAAAATGCACGATTTAATTATACAAGAATATTTATCAGACTTTTATAAAATTATTTTATGCTACATTTATGTAACTTTTTGTCTTCATATCTGGTGGAACATATGTTACGAGTACTCGGCGCTCTTAAAAAAGCATCACGTATGTTATTTGATATCGATACTATATTTTCTATATACATGTATATTTAGAGCTAGCGGAGCCTCCGGTTGGTATACACGGACGGAGAGGTAATGCCAGATTATTCGAAAGCCGAGCGTGTTTTATGCAATTGCAAATCGTCCCGCGGCGTGAATTCCAATGCGGATTGAGATTGATTATGCGACTTGCCTCGCACGTACCGCGATTTCCATACATGTGAGTTAAAACGATGCACGCTCGTCATATGAAAATGTTAATCAAGCCCTTTGTTAAGAGTCTTCAAATGTCCCTCCACCTTCGAAACCGCATGTACGCGCTCCTCCCCCCCGTCCCCCGTATTCGCCGTGGTTGCCGCGAATATTTCTTTCGCTTTACTTGCAAATTTATGTAACGCCGTTAGAAAGAAGTATCAAACTCGGTAATGCCTATAATTCCGCTGTAATCCACGGCCACCGAGCTTCCAGCGATCCCCTTTCGACGTTGGGATCTTGAATTCAACTTCGAGAATTAATATTCCGATTATCATCGCGTTTCGATAATCGCCCCGATTTTCTATAATATTTCATATCCGAACCGGGTTCTCTCTGTCTCTCTGTCGACTAAGTAATCCCGGATTCCAGCCAATTTCGCGGCAAGAACTTAATCTAAATAAGACTTCATTACTCCGCGCGGCGCGTGTCTATAGATATTTCTATATTTCTGCTGTAAAATTTTATTCGTTGCAATCTTCTACGTAAGACTACCGATCTTTCGTGAAAATATATGAATTTATTATGCCGTTCTTACATTCCGTATTGAGTGCAACTGTCACGATAATTGAGTGTATCTACGTGATGTAAAATCAATTGTCATATTCGGAATTTTCGATTCTGTATATAGCAAAAAAAACTTGCTGTTTCATATACTCGATTAAATAATCAAATCGTGAATTACGTGTCTTTCTCAAAACAACCGCTCTATTTCATCGTAACATTTAATATCGGAATCAACTCGCTGATCCCGCGACTTACGATTCCACCCAACTCGACGGCAAGAGAAGACAATCTAAATAAAATTCAATTGTAACTGCGCGAAATTACTTGCCTAACTTGTTCGGCTCTCAATACCATACCTATATACACATCTATTTGTCATCCGTCTAACAGTCTAGCTAATTTAATGGAATAAGGATTAGTTTTTTTTTCTACCGCGTTACATCATATTAAAATGTATCTCGCGCAAAGTAAGTGACTTTTCTACCAAATTAAATACTTCCTTTACATTTTGTATCGAAATTTGCAGATTAACAAAGACTATTGTACAAAGACTATTCGTGACGTCAAAAGACGCGGCAACACGCTGTAATATATGCGATCATTGACGGAAATAATCCCACCGCTGATGAACTATTAATTTCTCGTGTAGGTGTTGATCTCTTCGGCGTGGGCTGACGCGAGATACCTAGAACTTGACGTAGATGACGACCTTTCTCTGGCGCCGTCTGTCGTTGGGCTAATTAATAAATTAGCATAAGGATTACTTTATAATTAACTGAGATGATTGATAGAAATGATCACAAAATTTCTTTTTATGTTGAAGTTGAAATAAAATCCTTATCAATTGATATAAAACATTCGGAAGAGTGCTTAAAATAATTAAATATGTTTTCACGAAGGGAATTTTTGGCGATTGGAAATAGATTTGCCTCCAAACGAAATAGTGAGAAAGAGAGATGCATAACTTTCGAGGCCAAGTTTACAGCTATTAAATAATCAACAAAAATCTTAAGAGTAATAAAAAATAAACGAAGTTGTTGATTTCGATAAACAATAAACGAAGCAAGATGATCGTTTGCGGCCTTATAATGAAAATTCGTTTCTTCTCTGCAGATATATAGTGAATTTTTTTTCCCTCTCGCATCCGGTTTTTGATACAAGAACATCGCTGCGGATATTTCACGAGGTACTCTTCGGAAGCGCCATGCTTCCGCACAAAGAGTGATAGAGCCGAGAAGAGGGCGAACCAGAAAGATACAGCCAGCGCGCGCGCGCGCACGAGAGAGAGAAAGAGAGAGAGAGAGAGAGAGATAGGGAGAGTTTGAGAGAGAACGGACTCGTTCGAGCCACCCCGGTTCGTGTCACCCACTTCTGCGGCGATGAGAGAGGGTGTACAGTAGAAATGTCGATAAAACGTGTCGGCCAATGAGCGAGCCCGATGTGACGTCACCGCAGCGGCATCGGCCAATCGGGTGGCGCCGGTGACGTCACCGGTGAGGGTGGAAACAACCCAACCCCGACCCGGGACGAGAAGCCGCAGGCTTTTCTCTTTCTGGGGGGGCCGCTGGAAAGAGGGGTCGGTCGGCAGGGCGGGGCGCGAGAGTGGAGAGATTGTCGGGGGTTACAGGAGGGACGGAGGAGGGAAGGAGAAGAGGTGAACGGATAAGGGGGGCAGAGACGAGGGGGTGCGGAAACGCGCGCCGGTGTGGATGCCGGGGTGAGTCGCCGGTGGCGGCTCAGGCAAGCCCCAATATGGGTTTACTAATCCCGCGAAACAATGGAAATTGCCCGATGCAAAATGGCGATAGGTAAACCGCCCTGGGTTACCGGGTGAAGCGGGGGGAGAGTAAACTTAGGATCCCGTTTGAGTGAAGAAAAAAAAGAGGGTGCTTTTCGGCCCAAGAGGTTTGTGTCCCTTCTTTGATCGACGAGGACCATTAACTCGATGCTCTCAAATACTTGGTGCGTCGGTGCCATATACACCATTTTATTAGCTTCTTGGTCGCCATTTTGCTACAAGCGTAAAACAATTACTTTTACAAACGTCTCTACGTATCAAAAGTTTTGCGGATTGATATGTTTCGCGTATAATAATGTTTAAAAGAAAGATAGAGAGTGTGGGAGATCCGATATTTGAAACATTCTGGAGTAAAAGGGATGTAAATTTTGTAAGCGCGAGATCGAATCTTGGCATGCTTCTGTTTATTCTGATTCTGAACGGTTTACATTAGTGGAGCCAGAAAAATTAATGCATTAATTAGATTCAAGTCATTTCGAAGCTGTTCTAAATTCTTTTATAGACGCTATAAATCTACGTTGCGAGAAGAATAAAAATGTAATTATTCTGTCTCGCTGATTGTTTGTGTAATATGAAATCACATTCTACCAGACATACTAATATACTTAATTAAAGTAGCAATTAATGTTGGATCAAAATTATGTCCAGTAACCGAAGCAAGAATGACACAAACTTCATCTGTACTTCATAAACGCACAAACGACGTTACACATCACGCGGAGATCGAAATAATTTATCTGTTAATTATACATCGCCGTCCGTTTGTTTACGCCACATTTCGTCTCTCTCCGTAGGTTTGGTTCCAGAACAGAAGAGCGAAATACCGGAAGCAGGAGAAGCAGCTGCAGAAAGCTCTGACACCAATTCCCGCCTGCCAAGGTGCCATGATGAGGAATATCTATCCTGGTGCTAGCAGAGGTTATCAACCCTACCCCCATCCTCACAACAGCATAAATGGCATAAATCGTTATCCCCAGGTGAGGCTCCCTTACGACGCGCAGGACGCTTCCGAAATTTCATTATTATCGATACCCACCGCTTTGCACGCTCACCAATGCACTCAGCGCGAAGACACGTCTCCGATAATGGCAAGTAAATAATATAAACAAGAATTACAATTGTCATCCCAGAGAAGTACGTCCTACTTATTGCGCTACACGGATCTTCGTGCAGACACATACATGGAAGAAAAACATTTTTAAAGTTATTTGGAAGCAGAAAGATCGTTTCAAACGTTTCATTCGAATTTCGTGCGTATTGTTTAATATGTTATAGTTATTCATGTTATTTTATATATCACTATTAGATATTATTACTACTTTTTCTAGAAGTAGTGCAATAGTTGCGATAAATATTTCTCCCGAGAAGTGGCCTGCTATCAAAACGCGCCGTTTGACAGAAGCGCCGATATGGCAAAGCCCGGAAATTAAAAGATTTCGGCGCAATCGTTAGATTCGTTCGTCGTTTCGAAGGTTCCACATATCGGGAATGAATTCGATGCGTTTCTCGTTAATGATTTTAACCGAGGTATTAAATTGGAGTGCACCTGAGCGTACGTCCGGCGCATCGCTATCGGTCGATATAGCTAAATTGCATTTCGGCTGATTAGTTGGGTCGGCCGGATTACCGAATGCCTACCGCTTTAATTGAGCCGATAATTCGCAAGCGTGTTTCGCCCCCCTCTCCCCCCACCCCCCGAAAAAAAGAAACTTATATTAGTTATCCTTCATCTCTAATGATCCATGAATATCTAAGACAGTAATTTACGAAATTTTTCCGCCGCGTAATACGTCGATATATGTACTTATTGTATATCCATTTTCTTTCTGTTGAGGGTTTCAAATATTTAGTAGTTAGTAGCGTCCTGCAGCGATGTGTGAAGGAAAACTAACACGTAATGATTATTCTCTAATTAATAATTTCACAATTAATAAAATTATCTTACAATGATCGGTGATGGAAAAACGGTTGACAAAGTGAATTTTACCGTCGCGCAAATTTTTTTAATGGTTCAGAGGATCCTTTCATCCCTATATCTTCGTCAGGAATTGCACTTAATAATCGTGATATCACCGTAGAATCACGTAACGCGTTGGAAAATTGATTACGGGCGGGAAATAGATACCGCGACACATTATTAATTTCCATCAGTTCCGAACGTATTACACGGTTAATTTTTATAATGAAACCACCCGTCGCATTCGATTTCGCGTTTGCCACCGCCGACGATGAGTGGGAAATACGTAAGAGCGGTTTCTAGCCGATAATTATGTTTCACACACGTTAATTACCGCATTACTTTCCTCTCGTTGTTCCAGCTCGGCCGCTCGAACCGCGCGGGGGTAACTCCGTAATCTCATTGATATATCGCGGAATCCATTTTCGCTCGTTCGCTCATTTCACGCTCGCGGAAATTAATTACACGTGACATTAACACCGCGTGTCCATCTTCCCCCCCTTCCTTAAACGCGGCAAATTTTATACAACGTGCCATTAATATATTATTAATGCCGCCCGATTAGAAGAGATCGCGGTATCGCAGGACACGTGGTAAATCGTGACCGATCTCCAAAATCGCGGATCGGAGTTATCTGCATAGTGTTGCTAATCGCAACGCACGAATGTTTCAGATGGGCACGACGTCTTACCCGAGCATGACCCAGCCGTTCTCCATGTCGCATTCAGCGTCGAATATGTCGGCCGTCACCGGCATGCGACAAGATGCAATGGGTGAGTCATAAATAATGCAACGCCAGCGCTTTGGGTGTGCGTAAAATGAGTACGGCAGTGAATGGCTGCTCCGTGAGCGCGGTTGCGCTCTCATTTGGGTCAAGGATTATGCAAATGCCCTTAATCTCACAAATATCTCCTTGATACCCTCTCTCGCGTTCGTGGGTAACCGATTTCACTTTTTCGCGCGGGACCGAATCGTGTGGCATTTCGTTGCATCTCAAACGCGGCCTCGATTGCGGCTCCTGAAATTTAGAGTATTTTTTATAGCCGCGATATTTTAATGTCCCCACTTGTCTAAACGGTTCTTTATACTAAACTTAGAATCGCGTTAATTGAATCTAAGATGTATTACATTAAGCTAGTGCTATATATAAATAGTAGCTAATTTTGCTGGAAGAGTAAAACGAAAGGAAGTCAATTTTATATAACATTCTATATCATATTCACGGAGAGAATTTTTTGTTATATTTTACTCTCAAATTCACTACAAACTTGGGACAACTTGGCAACCAAGAAATTTTTAAAATTTACAAAAGACATTTTACAAACAACGTGATAAAAATTACAGGTAAGATTGGTAAATTTTGAAAAATTATTGAAATTTCCTAGATATATTTCAGTAAAATTAATCAAACATATTTTATATTTTAATGTAATAAATATTAATATTTTTTATTATGGTGGATATTAATCAGAATAGCTCGCAAAAAAGTCTTGGTGATGTTGTCCCACAACTATCATGATTTCAGGGTAAATTTTAAGAGAAAATTCTCTCCGTGTTCTAAACATTAAAATTTAGGAAATTGTATAAACATTTTGGGAAATCCACGTGACTTACTTAATCATGATATTTGCCTTGGCGAAATGCTGCAATTTCCTAAAATTTAATATTTATATAATATAATATTAGAATATGATATAGGATACTATATAAATTGACTTCCTTCGCGTCAATTAACATTCATTAGTCCCGCAATCGTCTCGAGTCTATACTTCATACTTGATCGTTGCCTTTCGATTACCGCACATCAATTCCTCCGCCCCCCCCCCCCCCCCCGAAAATCACGCGAATGTGGAACGGACGTAAACTAATTTCTTTCGGCCTCGCTCGGCTCTCGTTCTTCTTGTCCAGCGTCTCACGGCGAGTTTCCGCGCCGTCCTCGGGCGCTGACCCAACGTTATCGAATGACTCCGCAAAAATCCGGAGCGGAAATGGCGCGAATCCGACGCCCGAGAGCACGAGAGCGAGAGAGCACAGCCGCGCGCGCTCTGGTCCCCGCCAGCCTCCAAGACGCTCTCTCCATTTCCGCCCCAGCGCCGTCTTACACCATTTCCGGCGCGAGATGGAATATCGCTTTTAAATCGAATCAAGACTATTCGCGAATTGCCTCCTCGCCCCCGTCGGGGGTTGCACGGCGCGAGCGAGCGATTGCTGTACGAGAGTGCGCGCGGCTCGCAATCTCGCCGCCTCTCCTTAACGACTTAACGCCTCTCTCTTTAACGTCTTAATGCGAATAGCAAATCGACCGATTAGCGGAGACTCGATAAAGCACCGCGGAAAGTCGGTTAAATCGAATCACTCCGGAATTCTTTCGGGATAGAAAAGAAACCCGCACTGCTCCGCGCCGAGTGACGTCCGACTTTGATTAATTAGGGAGGGGAGGGCGGGTGGTAACGTCGCGTGGGTGTTCTACTAATTAAAACTCGCGTTAATGACGTTCGGTCTCGTTACCACGCTATTGATAAACAGGAGTGTAATTCAAAGATCGATCGAACAGAGAGAGATTACCAAAGCCGCTGACGCGCTCGCGTGATTTTCGTTTAAAAATCTCGTCTTTCTTTCCCGTTTCAGGAATGTCGGCGGAGGACGAGTGGTACAACAAGAGCATCTCGGCTCTGAGAATGAACACAGCCCACCACCCGAATCTGGCCGCACCGATGTTACAGTATCAGACATAATTGTAAACGGAGGCGAGAGGGCGACTCGAGGATCTCGTCAGGAATCCGATGGCGTACCTATGATCGAAAGCCGATCGTGGCGATCGACGGAAGAGACGTGTGAGAGCGATATGTGACGAACTCGACGAAGCCCGATCGACGTTTTGCCGTTTCGCAGAGGGAAGAAGAGGAAAAGAAAATGAGAGGAAGGAAAAACAGAATCGATTTGCGTTATCGCTAATCGGCTTGCGCGGCCGCGCCGATTTCGCATCCAGATTTCGCGACGCGTCCTCGCATCTCGCTTGCAGCATAAGCAAGCTCGACTCGCAACGGCGTACCACATGTCGCGAGGCATATACACGCGTGCGAGAAGCTCGCGTTTCGTTCGGACCATAGGCAACTCGAATGTTTGGTTCGAGCACGACGTTGAAGATTAAAGCGCGACGATGAAATGGCGGGGCTGTGTTTATCTCGAGCGTATATTCGTGAATTTCGGAAGTTCAACGCGCGCGTGCGACACATTGCTTCAGAATATCAATCGGCATACACACTTAGATCCTTGCTCGTGATTTCTCGCGTAATTTCCGCGATTTAGGATTACGATCGACAGGTTGTCCCTGGCATCATATTATACTTCTTGTCAATTGACAAATCCTTTCGCGAAACATTGGTGCGAAACAAAGCTTTTTTTTTTTTACATAAGACTTGAAACAGAATTTGGTCAAAGTGAAGCCTACCAGTGAAGTTAAGAGACAATCCGGATGGGCAAAACGTTCGTCGTTCAGTGATATTTTTACCCTTCCTTCAAATTAATTTTAATTAAGTTGAATTTTAATGAAGCTTAATGTCACTGCTGTCGAGAATCGTCGCTATTTCATGAAAAGCTCGATCATAAGTCGAACAAAGAACACGTTGAATCAATGGAAGCTACTTTAACACAGCGCGGAAGGGAAACTATGTAAATTTTGAGCGTTTCCAGCCAGATAGTTTGTACTTCGGTCCTCGTGGCGCAGAAAGACTTAATTACCTTCCTCCTTATTACGCGCGGGAGAGAATGCGCTCTGCCCGAGACACCCTGCGTTTTGGATTCGCGGACGGCGGGAGACATCCCGCAATTTAGCGTGTATGTACAGAGTGACGTAGAGCCCGGTTTTGCCGCGAGATCGTCGCGTATTTTCTACGTGTAAGTAGCCGTTTCTTTTTTCCCCGCGACTCTGGTTCCTTCCGTTCGAGAGAGACGTGTCGCAACGCGCATAACGCATTCCGCGCGCGGAAATCTCCGTTAATCTCCTAACAACGATACGTGCCACACCTTCGCTAAATTGGAGAGAAAGGGGGAGCAGGGGGGACGGTACTGTACATAAGTGGATGAGAGAGAGAGAGAGAGAAGAGATATAGATACATAGAGATTGCGTAATCGGCAGATACTCTAGCATATGCGATTTTTCAATGTCCTTTTAAAAGTGTAAGCATACCCTTAGTGAATGATATTAGGCATTGATTTGTGTGCTTATGTTGACCACGATTTTGGATAAACCAAAAGAGGGGGGGAGGGGGACGCGTTGGAAGGAGACGGTGGGGATCTGACAGTGTTTTTGCGTTCAAAATTTGAGGGGCGCCAGGGTTTCCCCGTGTCGCGACGAGCGGATTGCCGAAACTCACCTCTTATTGCGCGCGGATCGGACGCCGTCGCACGCAAATTAAAGCGGGGGCGCGTCGCGTCGACTTAAAAATAAGAAATGACGGAAAGAACGAACGACGATCTTGCGTTTCACGCGATATGCTGAACTCTGTAAGTATATATATATCTAATCTCGAAAGCGGCACACGTGAGACACAAACTAAAACTTCGTATTAGAATAAAAATTATCAAAGATACGCGACATCGGGATAAGCGTTGATGATAGCATCGTTTATATTTTTAGATTCGTGTCAGTTTTAGAGACGTGCATAAAAGCGTGTCGATTAACAAGACATTCAGAATTGTCCGACAGAAATTAATTTACCCTGGACAGTTTATGTAGATTTGTGTGCGACGGCTCCTTCTCTCATTTCACCCCGAGAAAGTATCCGGCGTCGTAATGCCTAGGCCCCACAAACGGACGGATCGCGGAGGGGTGAATTCGTTAGGCGAAGAGAAACGAGATCTCTCTGACTTCGCTCACCACTGCTTCCGCGAGTGTCGATCGTCGGGAGGTGCACGAATAAGACGGTAAATTTGTTTTGCGCTTGCAAGGCGCAAAAAGTCTCATCGGAGAGGTCGATGCCTGGACAATTGGACGCACGACAGACGACAGGCCCTACGATATCACGAGGGGGTGCCCACCGAGCCAACGGAGTTTTAACGAGACAGATGGGGGTCGCACTCTATCTCATCCATATCCAGGATTAAATATGTAATTATCGCTAACAGATCGTATCGTGTAACAATGTTGTCCTCGTAATAGTCGAACCGATTGCATCAACAGGCCGAATGATTTCCATAGGCAGAAACGATGCCGGGCCGGGGGTATCGCAGAGGCGCGGAATGAGCCAGACGATTATGTATTATTAACGAGGTAATTTGCGGAATATCACGCAGTGAAAATCGTCGATGAGACGGTTGCCGAACGGTGCATTATTCACTCTGTTGCCGCAAACCGGTTAATTATTGCGATATCGTTCGTCGTCCGGATGCTTTCCCGCGTGTAAAAGCAGAATCGGAGCTTTCGTCGCTTTAACCGTTTGCACTTTGAGCTTCCGCGTCGACAAAATCCTACATTAATTCCATTGCGATATCATTACATTCACAAGCGCGTAAACAGGGATTGCGTGCGCTTCATATAGCTTTTTATCAAGAAAACAATTAAACTATTATTCTGTTAAAGTATTCGATTCTGAGAAATATACCATAAACGCGTGCGAACTTTTATGTGTGAAACTTTTTCGTAATAAATACAAATATCTATTCATCCTAGTATCACAAATTGCATAATTCTGCGGAGACATCAGAGAGGGGTTTTGCAGCGGGGCACGAGCGGGGCGCAAACCGGCAAACGGTTAATTAACGCGCGACTCGCGACTTCTCCCTGGCGCCTTTCAGTCATAAATATTCGGAATCTGTCCAGTCAACAATCGTCTATATTGGTGTCATTTTTCGATAACTGTCTAATCAATATATCGACTCGAGGATGAAGCTGCAGACGACTGCGCATTGTTTTCGTGTAGTTTCGCTGCGACCTTATTATTACCGCTCGCGGCATTCCACGAGAAATGTTCCTAAAAAGTTTGTAACATATCGTACACGGTACACTCACACATGCACGGATACACACACACACACACGCACACAAAATACACACAAAGCGTGCACGTGAGCGCACGTCCAACACACGAAATTACACGCGTCACGTTGTGTCGAGAGGACAAGATTAAAAATTAAGTGGAAATGCATACCGGACGAGCGTAACATAGTTTTAAGCAAGGGTCACGTATTGTACGTATGTGTTGTACATAGCCTAAATAAAAATTACATTTAAAATTATCCTCCTTTCTCCTTAATCTCTTCTTTCTTCCTAATTCTCCAAACGGTGCGAATTAATCGTGTGTCGGGATGCAAACTCGAAAGTTACATTACTTACATTGAATTTTTGATACGCACCGAGCTGGATAAAAATTTATTGAATATTGCTAGCAAAAAAAGATGTATTGTGTTTCATTACTTCAATTTTGAAATAACATTTAAAAAATCAGAACAAATGGTTCGATGTTATTTAAATGAAATTACAGACCAGCAAAGCTGCTCAATTTATTGGCATATTGCAGGCTCCGCCGACAGGATGCGAGAAAAGCTCAATCAATTATATTAATTAAAACTGCTGGAATTATTGGAACGACGCGAATATTTAATTTGCCGGGTGTACTGTAAAAAAATTAAAATGCACTTTATTTATAATATACAGAGTTCTTTCGAATATTTTTCTCAGTCATTGTGCCACCCTACTGATTACCATATCACGCAAAAATTTTACGGACTATAATCCTCCGTCATGTATTTCAAATTGAAATATTATGATATATTTAAACATTATAATAATAAAATATATTTATACAATTCTTCTTTACATTTGCCTTTGAATGAACAAAGTACGCTTAAATGTCTCTCTAAATGAAATTCTAATATACTAACATAATACAATATTTTGTTTACAATGATCAGTTTTCGACACTATGTGTCAAGATTGCTCATTCCAAGGCCTAATTATTAAGGTAAAACCTTTTTTCCGACTAGACCGTGATAATGTAAGAAGAAAATGATGGAATTTATCTTCCAGCGATCGCGATAATTTCGAAATATTGAATATTTCGGTAATTTATTAGGAAGATGACAATAGAGGCATATCAGATATAGATTTAGAATAGTGTGGAAAAAGAGTTTACGCTTGTCTTCTTATTTCTTCGTGATAATAGAAAGATCAAATAATATAAATTAGGTAACAATAGGATTGCAAGGAGATAAAAGGAAGATGAATAAAGAGAAGATAATGTTACATATATCGAATATAAAAACCAAGTAATTTTGACAATATGGATTAACGTAATTGTCGTTTGACTCATAATATAATTGTCTTATTAATTGAAATTAATAATATAGACAATATACATCAGCTCTTTTTCCTTCAATTATGAGTTTTTTCTCGACGATATAGTCGTATGTACATAATTTTTCTGCACTAGTGTACCACAGAAGTACGTCTTGGCAAATATGACATTTTAATTTGGTAATTATTTAGGCCAGTAAATAATTACCCTTATTTTTATCAAGGCACACTGTACAGATATAAAATGCTCAATGGATGCCAGTTGCTCGTCTAATTTCAGACCATTTCCGGTTGGACGAAATTCCTGTTCATATCAAAGATGGACGCGTAACGTGTGGAAGCAGTTTTCAACGGCTCTTCAACGCACTCGAAATATAATTTACATTATTTCTGCTTTTCGGCTACCTAAACTCTTTTTTATTATCGCCCAGTCTTCCAATATGTCGGCGTCGTTGAGCATGTAAACGATGTAAGGGCCTGCAACAGAAACCGCTCGTCTTCTCTCCGTATGGTTCCTGCGTCTTCTGCCGCTTGTATTAAACCACAAATCCGCATGTATGTCCACGTTATTCCTATCTTCCTCCAAACGGCGTATCTTGTCCTGTAGATCATTATGAATGCAATCCCAGACCAAGCCTTTTTCACTTTCAAAATTTTGAAAGGCGGCCAGTTCTTCTGCCAGGAATTTATTTTGGATATTTTGTAGTCTGTATTGCTTTAGTATTCCAGCCACTTCCGTCTTCGTTTTCATATTTTCTTTTAGTCGCTCCAGCGGTATTAGGTATTCCTCGGATTTTCCAACACGAACTTCCCCGAGCTTTGTGTCCACTTGCGTGATTCTTTCTCGGTATAATCTGAAAATAAATGACAATTATTAAAACAAATGTTTATATTGTGTTTTTTTAATCCTCAAAAATATGGATTATATCACCAACAATCGATATCTTTAATTTCACAATTAAATTATATGATGCATTATTAGTTCCTAGTACAGTGTTAATAAAATTAATGAAATAATTAATGTTATAATTTTTATATCGAGACGAAGAAATTTGTCATTGCCAAGCATTTTTATTAATATACTTTTAATATATCCTACAGACAAATTTAAATATATCTGTGCAGATTAATATATATTATAGTATATATTATGAAAAGTTATGTGAATGTGGTATACTTACTGTTCCTTGAGTAGAGTAAACTGTCTTTCCAGATCAAGCAAATTATCCATACATTCGTTGCGCCTCCTCTCGCACTCGTCCTCGTCCATCTCCGACGAGTCATCACTGTCAGTGTGTTCCGCGCTGCTGTCACATGACGCGGAACTTTGGTTACTATCGTTACTGTCGTGAGACATCTCCTCCCCTTCACCCTCAGATTCATCCTTGACACTTGGCATTTATCCTGTAAAAAAAATTCACCGTTCAGTGAATATTTTCTTTGCACTACACATGACGAAAAATATCTAAAAAGGTGCCCAAAAGTTGAATGTTTAGAAAAATTTGAGGGAAACCCAGGCTTCTCCGAGTTTTTATGATAAAAATGTATTTAAATGGAGCAAATATGATTGATCTTCTACATTATGACAAGAAAGAGATATAGAGTTCATAATTAGGTTTACGCGTAAAATATAAGAATCTATATTTATATCTACATGTATACAATAATTGTGTTTAACGAATCATCGTGTAAATAATGAGTAATCTATGGACCATCGAACATTCATATTTCGTCAGAAATATCAAAAACTTTTGTTTTGTTTGGAATTTTATTTTCAGTTGCTATTATTTAGTTTGGGCATAAAAGACGCTACAGAAAATTAACAATGATTTTAAAACTCTTGATTTTATACCCATAAAAAAATAAACATTGTGCATATCACAATCGCGAACTAAGTAATATTGCTTCTTGTCGTTTAACAGCGTAATATAAATAATAATGTTTATATTAGCATCATGTATCTTCGTGTCACTGTACAGTTAACAAATAAATTATAACTGAAATCAAATCTAATTTAGTTTAAAACTTTTTTTTATTTTTGCAGGATTGTTTGTAAAGATAGTTTAAATAAATAAATAAATAAATAAACAAATAAATAAATAAATAAATCATACAATTTATAATAATTTACATTGATTATATTATCTGCATGAAAAAGGTTCGTGTAAACATAATGTAAACAATACGTGAACAATCCATGTAGACATAAGCTTGAAATTTACCGCACAATCCTGTTCACAACATAACCTATACAGAGGCAAAGCTTATATCGACGTAACCGGAGCATCGCTAATGGAAATATCGTTTCGTACATCCGTAGATTTAATTCTCGTAGGAATTAACGTCTCACTGTTCGGTTTATGACATATAAGTAAAACTTATTCGCGCGCAAAGCAGGAGGTTACGTGTTACTCCGAAGACACGGCCGGACGAAGAGACTTCAGGTTTCCAGAAAACTTTCCATCACATATCGCAACGATCTAAAATCCAAATCGGACGAGCTTCTCGCTGCGTCATCGATACACTTACTAAGTGATGATTTTATTAATTTTGTTGATGCACCTTCTCGATTGTTCGTTCGTTCGGCGTACGCGTACGCGCGATGCTTGACAACTGTTGACAACCAGCCGCCCACCACAGTGTCGCCCGGAGCACGAAGGTATACCAACCGTGACGAAAGGAAAAGACACTAGATTAGATCAAAATGCATCCAGTCGTTCTTTTAAAGTTTTCTTGGCCAGCTTGTCCTTCCATTACATTCTCCGCATTCAAAATAAGACCGATGTATAATTGATCGTTAAATAAATGAATAAATATCTTGAATAAATATCTTCGTTAAGAGAGGCATATGTTATCTACAGAGAAAACTCGACGACGTCGCTTACAATGTGCGACTGCGACTACAGTTGACGCTAAGCGCACGAATTAATTCGTTCAAAATGAAAGAGATGATTTTTACCGATCATCCCCTGGATTTACCCTCTGACAATAAGTCGACTGATTAAACTCCGATTAATATAATCGACCGTCAGTTTGTTGAACAATTATACTTGCAATGTTTTGTTAAAAGAAAGACTAGATATTGATTTTTTATATAAAATATTATCAATCAATTTTTTGTTTATATAACTTATGGAAAGCTATATATAATCGGACGACAGATTGTATAGCTAAAAATTTTAATTGTGCCAGTTGAATATTGAAAAGATTGTAAGGAAAATAAAAAATGTTAATTAAATTGCATAAAATATGATCATATATATTTTTCAAATCTTTGATTTAGTTCGTGTCAATTTAATTATTATTTAGTCTAACGACAATAAAAAAGATGCAGATAAAGGCATGGAATTTTCTTATTTTTCTTACAAGAATAAATTTCCTCTTGATTGTCGAGGTTGTATCGGTAGTTGTAAAAGAAAGAATATAACTGAAATGGATTTTAAAAAAATCTAAAACGTACAAAATTGAAACTTAAATACGACTCGAAATTATTTTACTTACTGGAAAAATTGGGAGAAGCGGAAGAACTCTGTAAGCTCCACCGGAGGATCATAATATATATAGATATATATATTATATATTTTGATATATAATACTCCATCGGATACAATAATACATCTGGATCTGTATGGAACAAACAGTTAGACAATGCAACATTCGCATAACTGCAAGGTATACTAGCAATTTTTTTTTTATATCTCATATATATTTATATAATAATATATATTTCTCTCTCGTGTGTGCTTCCTGCGCGTTTCATGAAGACTTTCGGTTAGATAGGTCTTTCGATTTCTGCGAGAAAAGAAGGTACAGAGCTCGTTTTTTGTGCATTTTGTTCCGTACGAAATATTTTTTTTTGTTTCGTTTTTCGGTATTCTCCATTTTTTTTCGTTTTTTTCTTTCTTTTTACGTCGCTTCAAGCCCCGCCGCACGCGGGACGTGTGTGTGTGTGTGTGTATGTGTGTCTGTGTGTGTGCAATTGTGAACTGGTGGCACATCTTGCTTTTCCTAGTAGCCCTTAAATCTTCGGGATAAAGTGTAAAATGCCGGAGTGTCCTTCGAGGATGCCGCTGACGGGCCCGACAAATGTCACCATTTACCCATACGCGACGGATCTCGAGGTTTCCCCGCTGGGAGAAACGCGAGGAGGAAAGATTCCAAAATGATTTCTGCGAGAACTTCTGCGCGAAGTCGATTTCTTATTTATTCTCACCGGGAGATAAATTGTTCCTCGCCGAAAAAAAAAAAAATTAATTACGCACTTAATCCGCTCTATACTTCTCCGCGAGTTAATTTTTTTTCTCCTCTCCCCACCGTTTTACGCCGGCTTTTCTGGCAATTCTTTTTTACCCCGCTTTATCGCCCGACTGCACCAGTTTGATACTCAAGCGATCGATATTGTTTGCCACGAAATTCGACGCCCGACAGGAGTCCTCGAGTTACACTTCGGTGACGGGGAGGGAAAGAATGAAAAGGGCGCTCGGTGGTGAGGTGGTCCGCGATCCTTCTCGTGCGGCGACGGCTTTACACGGATTCTTAATATTCATTTCATGCAACATTTATTCGCGGCGCAATCGCAGTTCGCCGGGGAAAAGTCGCGCGGGCTCCCGAACGACTTCGCGGGGTATCCGCTCCTGATATCGCGCTGGTTAAAAACTGAAATGCAAATCGACGGCTATAGGGTAAATGCACCGCTAAATGACCGCTTAGGCATATCGCTTCTGCTCGATCTTGTTTCGCCTCTTCGTCGAATAAAAATAAAATTTTCATCACACCAGTTATCTCTCGGGTGATCCATATCAAATATTTGAAGCTTTATCGCAGCTTACGCGCGCGAGGGAATTTATAATGAAAGGAAAAAGAGATAAATTGACGTTGCAAGGAAATGAGAACTGGTATATACTAGTGAATGATTACTTTGATCTATCATACTAGAGCCAAAGGAAGTATGTGACAGCGTTGAATTAATAGCACAACGCGATGCTTAGATAATATCAACATACAGATTTTTTTTTATTTCATATCAATTATTAATTTGATAGAAAGTTCATGTGTTAGCCTCAATTATCCATTAGTTCACTAGTTATTCTGTAATGAAAAAATATTTCCGAGATAATACGAAAGAAGAGCTGCGGTAGCACAGTGACGTTAAATGACGTTTTAATGACGTCTACAGACGTCTAGAGACGTCATTAAAACGTCATTTAACGTCATTGTGCTACTGTGGAGATAATTACTAATATTAGGTCCAAGCTAGCAGAAAGACGTCAATTTTTCAGACGTCTTTTAGAAGCTTCTGCTAGCTGGGGTCCTTTCTTCCGAAAAGATATACTTTAAAAAAGCATGAAAATAAGCCTATTCAGCGAATATCTATTGATCAATCATTCAGTAGTGCATATACCCTATGAATTGAAGAGGAAAATTGGAATAAAATATTGCACTGAGGAAAAATATTGCTCGGGACAAAGAAATGACAATACTCCCCTTTATACAAATATCATATCATGTGAACGAATTACATATGTCGATGCACCGCTAAAATTTATCCACGCAATTGTCGTATATACAAATGTAACGGTTTATATCGACTAATTTGTTGACCTAAAATTTGTTTGGGGAGAGATAATTTCGTCAATTTAAATAATTATTTCTTTTTTTTTTTCGGTGAAACATATAACAATTACGACGAAGGTTTACGAACCTCAGCGACGCGATAGGATGTCGCGAACCGCGGAAGCGCTAATTACCTTACCTAATTTGTCGATCGATTTTAGTCTCGGTGAGAGTAAGGGTGCGTTCACATTGTTCGTCGTGGTCAAACGCGACTTTCGCTCCAAGTCGCGTCTCGCGATGCCACGCACCCTCTCTCGTTCGCGATTTTTTTTTCTTTATATTCTCCGTTTTTTTTTTTTTCGCTATTGAACACACGTACTCTTTCTCCCTGAGGCAACGTATTCGCCGTTCCCGGCGAGCGGGGAGCGACCGCGAGTGAACGTGACGTGATGAATCGCATTCTCGAAACCCTCTCTATTTAAATACCTTAGCGACGGAATACGTCGACGGTAGCGTGTCCTCCTCGAGGGTACAAAACGTTAATGTCTCAAGATGAACGGTGACATAAATCTAAGATGGAAGTACGAAAAGCTTCAGCGTTCACCGTGTATTTACGAAAGAGAGAGAGAGAGACTCCCTGTTAGAGACTTCTTGCGATAGCGTGTTTCGAACACGCTAAATATTAATGTCGCGCCAAAGTCGCGTGTGGGGCGAAATGATAATTTAAGTCGAGAATGGAAATTGCCGTTTTGCGCGGAATAACATGAGAGTCCCGTGCGCTTGGCGTTACTCCGAAGTACACGGTATCGCAAAAACATTCTGCCTTCGTTGGAAAATCGATTTTCCGCGACACGCTTGTTATTTATCGTCGTTTATCGTCTCGCAGGAAGTTCCTCTGCGCACGACGGTTAGTTTGATTATTCGTGGTATACGACGGTTAACGAAGTTAACGGAACTGATAGGGCGACCGGTAATGTGTATCGCTCTAAAAGGGAGCGGAACCGCGCTAACTGCATCGCCGAAGGAAAAACAAAGCCTAAGTTTTATCGTCTTCTTTCTCTCTCGCGATACAACTCTTACCGTACAACTCTTACCTTTGTCTTACCGTCGGGCAAACTAATGATCCCGCGATTAAAGGAGAAACAAAACCTCGGACAAGTAGGGCGCTATTCTTGGTTCTCCACCTCTTTTGCGCGAAACCGAGTCCGACATTTTCCGAATACGCTCGCGAACGATCCTAAAACAACGAACGTCTACTAGGTAACTCATCTTTAAATACCGTGGGATCTTAAGCCGTTTGCAGAGTGCCCTAATAATGAAAAGTGTTATTTTGGTAGAAAACGCGGAGATGTTGCGATGGCAGTTATCGGCGTGGAAATAGCTTACCTTGGTGAAAAAATTTATCTTATTTTCTCAGAAATTTTGTAAAAATTGAGACTTATGAAAATAATTAGTGACTTATGAAAAATTCCGAAAAAATATATCTCAGATACTTTCAAAAATAATTGGATGAGAATTTTCGGAATTATCTATTTTATATGTATAAAACTTTCCGATAAATTGCATATAGTTTTTCTCATATTTATTCAGATTTTTACAAAAATGTGTTGGTGGGAAAAATATGAAATATTTTGTTATTATTTTATCTAAGTTTTTTTGAAAAACATTCTAGTTTGTGTAAAAAATCTGAAAAATTCCGAGCACATTCTGAGAAAGTCTGAAAATTTTTAGAAAAATTCTAATTAATGTAAAAAATGCTGAGACATTTTTCCACCAGGGTACCGACTGCGTCTACAGCGTTAATTCCTTCCTGCTCAAAACAACTACGCTTCATCCCAACAAAGTTTTCCTCTCAATTGCTTACTTAATTAGAACGAACGCGGTAGTATACTCTGCATTTGATGGTGGAGATAACGTCGCGTTTCTATCATTTCACGCTGATTGTTAAACGAGATAAATTTTTCGAGAATAATCGTGATAAAATAAAATACGACACGCGTAGCACGGGCTCTAATGGATTCGTATCGCGTGTCATCGCTTCTGGGGTGCCTCCCCTTATAAGTCACGTGTCTCGCGGTCGTCCACGTCGTGTGTCGCGGCCTTTTTCCAGGGTACGTACCGACTCGCCAGGTCCGAGCATAGAAAGAGAGAAAGAGAGAGAGAGCGACATGGGCGCGAATCGTCCTCAGAGAGAAATAGAGATAGATAAAGACGGCGAGGAAGATACAGAGACGGAGAGGCCTTCTGCCTTCCCGAGACCTCCCAGAAAATTGACATTTGCGCGAAGGGCCCATTACCTTAGAGACCACACTTTTTTTTTCCACTGCCACTTATGATACAAGTAAAAATTTATACAAGTTCTCCGTTGACGATCGAAGGGTTTTGACCGACGTTACCTCGGACCTCGGTGACGCCGCGGGTCACCGAGGGCCGAATCGAAATCGGATTTACCGCTGACAAGTGGAACCAACATCGAACGCATATTCATGATTAAAGTATAACTTTTCAGTTTCTCACTTTATATTTTGAACTCCCGCTAGAAATAAGAGAGAGCAAAGTGCAAAGTACAGAGTAAAAAGTTACAAAGATGAGTGAATGCTCTTTACAAACGGATTCTTTCAAAAAAGAAAAAGAGCGAAAAATTGAAAATTGCTAGATACTGGAACGCGTAGTAATAGTAACGATAAATGATGAAAATAAGGTATAATGGATTGTTATCGATCATTCAAATGCATTTTAGTCGCGAAGAAATTCAGGGTGGAAGATTGATGGAATCAACGTGAGTTTATATAAACGGCTATCCTCTTTGGCGTTTAGAATCTAATTCATGTTCGCGCTTGCCATGACAATCCTGTGATCGATCAAAGTATCAATAATTTCCGCGTGTCCCTCTCTCCATTTACATGTCATCTGCGATCGTCACAATCGATCTCGTGACGAACGCGAACCAGAAACGCAGACTGTGCGTGCTTTTACATTGATATGGTGTTGTTTTACGACGAAACATAGAGATGGTGGGATGATAAAACGTAAATGTCTCTATTTACACGCAATCTCAAATACATCTCACAATCAGCAGCAAACGTAAAAAAGAAATGCAATTTTTGGACAGCGTAGAAGTTGTCGAGCATTATCAAGCATTATTTGTATGCAACTTTTCTCGACAATGAACTTTTGTATAACTAATGTAACACAAATTTCTATCACTGTTTGTTTCAATAATAGTGACAAACATGTTTTTCAAATTTTTCTAATTTAATTTGATTATTTATTCCGAGATAGAAGAATTGTACGCAAACAAGAGTTAATATTATAAGCGTGACAAAATTAAAATTGACAAGTATCGCAAGTTTTGAGAAACTTCGCGAGAGCTGAAAAATCCTATGTCCAATTGGAAATGTGCGAAATATGAACGCAATTTTTGACAAATATACTCGTTTAATGAGCTGTTTATTAACAACCGGTTAAATTTGATCTTAAATCGATGAAATGCAGTAGTACTGTCACTGCCTTTTACAAGTTAAATCTGTTAAATCAACAAAACAACGTGAAAACGTCTGGTTGCCGTTTCATTAAAACGTCAGTCGTCGCACGCGTGGTGTATCAAAGTTCTAAGTGCGTATTACATCACGCGGAAGAACCCCTAGTTACTCCGTGACGAGTTCAAATTTTTACACAGATTTTTAACGATGTTCCAAGTTTACGACAAGCACGACAAATTCTGCGAGAAATCAGACAAACAAATTTTTATTGCGCGTGAGGACGCCGGGAATATAACGCTCGCGAGGGCGAGGCGACGCCGTTTTGACGATTAAATCGCGACCCCGTTCCGAGACAATGGACATTTGCATTCACATGCATTCGGCCTCGCATTGCGGGAGGGTATCCTGCGTGACTTATGTAATCCAAGGCCGTCGCGAATAAAAGGCAACAGTCAACGTCGATTGACTGGCCGCCATTGCCGCCGCTGCCACCACGTTCGTATCAATTATTGAGCACATATTGAAAGTCGGAAACGCATATGAAATCGATCCCGATGAACTCGTACCCTTGACACTCGCGGATTAATGCGGATATAAAATAAACGCGCGCCATATAAGGCCCTTTCCGCAAACATTGGTTAGTGCTAAATGATTCAGATTTGAGCGACTTATGTCTTTCAAAGTGCGAGCGATTTGCAACACGCAGACCGATGCAAATCTTATGGCGGTTCATTGAATTTTCTGCGATTTATGACCTTCTGAAAAGCTGCAGGCTATTTTACATCCCACGCGAGTAAAAGCGGCTTAACGTTATTAGTAGAATGAATAATGGTTAAACGTAAAAAGTCTTTGGCGTAAAAAACGCGTGAAAAAAAAACCGAACGGAAGCATCTTTTCTTTCATTTAATGTCCGTAAATTCATAGTTAATTATGTGCGAGTGCGTTTAATGAAAGAATACGCATTAGGTGCTTTTATGGCACTCATGAGAAGTTAATGAGAGCTCTTGCGACGTAATAGACCCTTAAAACCGGCGTTGTGTGCGAATATTAGCGGTCGGTCGAACTTCATTTTGCTTGTAATGGTATCGTAATAAGAACTTTTATTTCGATCTATCCCCTCATGGCGAGGACTTGAAATCTCATTATCTGCCTTTAATCTGCGTCATCCACCTGGGGTTTATTTTGACCCCACGCACCTAAAAATGGCGTTATTTCCTGTTTTATTACCAAAGATAATGATTTTCATAGCAATTTTATATTTTTGTTATTGATTTCAATAAAAATGTTATTTATATATTTAAAACAATATATCTTTTATTTATATGTCAAAAACTCATTTTTTTAAATATAAAATCAAGAATTACAAGGTAGGGTCAAAAACGATCCCAGGTAGGTAATATAAAATTCTAAAGCAGGTAGGCAGCGAGAGTTAATATATTTTTTACGTGTAATTTTTATACACACACAAAAGAAAAGGTTTAAATAGTAATTTTAATATAAAAAAATAAAACGCACCTGTCTCAACAAGGAATAATGAGACTAATGCTCAAATATATCCTGATATATTGCATTTATAACATTTTGTCCTAGTTTTATCTGATTGTGAGTATAGTAAAATAAGAAAATCCATAAAAATGAAAGAAATTATTGTGATGCGATTTTGTTTTCGTCGTCGTGCTCTTAAATTTTTATGATCTCGCGTGAGAGCAACACCATCCAAAGGATATATCGTTCGACGTGACGACAGTTAATGATATCAGATACCACGATAAAGTCTCGATTACAAAAGACGTCCATGATTACGATTCAGAAATAAGTATAAAAATTACTATCCATCTTTATACACGTATTAAGAGTTCGAGAAAGTAATTGTCCTTTATAAAAAAAATAGCATATAATCTTTATATAAAACATGACCTTTATAAAAAAATCATAATTGAAAAAAATGTCAAATGTATATCTTCAAATCAAATATGTCAATCCTATCTGTTTGATTTTGCGTAATTTAACAACAGTACAAATATTAAATATTAGACTTATTCCCCTTTATATAAATTTCTAATGGTTTTTTCTGCATTTCAATGCCTCAGGTTGTTCTTTACATTAGCGCTGAGCGATTTAACGTAACGACACTCTATAACCGGCTTTTTTAAAACTTAAAAAGATATTAATATATATTATATTAAAATTTCATAAAAAAACAAATTATTTTACTACCTTTATTAGTTAAGGTATCATATTAAGGTATGACCAAAGTTACGTTTTACAATTAGTAATCCTCTTAGACCTCTTAAGATCGGTCTCTCTTGTGGAAGAGAAACACTCCGCCCTCTTTCCTTCTAATTTTGTGTCTGATCAATAACGACGTGTGTCACTTTACGTTTTATTCCTGTTAAATATATTTAAACTAAAGGTAGTCTATTTTTTATGAAGAGAAATAGCGGATGATATAAAAAATAGATAGAAATAATAGAAAAAATAGATGTTTACTTATTATACACGCGCGAAACAAAAAATAAAATTAAATACTCGAACTCATCTCTTTGAGATCCATTTTCATCGAAGGATGTATTCGTTTAAAGAGAATCCAGTGAATGTTAAGACTAGCGTTTTTCCACAAAATGCTGTACATTTACAATTTATTACGTTTCATGTGCAAGATGAAACATAAACCTCCGGTAAAACAAAAACAAATATTAACGAGTTGAGGTATCTTGATGCCGTGGCACGAATTTGATAAATTCACAAAAGCACGTATTCCATTCCCGGAATGTTTTTGTTTTTATCTCCCGGAATTTGTCCATTCGCGGACAATATTTTGCATGTATAAAAAACACACAATTTACAAATTTCAAAAGCAAATCTCTCTGCAGAGAATCAATTTCCCTACGAGCGTTTTAGCACCGTTCATAAAAAGTTGGTCGATTACTCGGTAGATTCCAGATAAACTTCGAATTATGGCGCTTACGGGTTGGTTTCACTGCCGTCGGTACGCTTTAATCTTAGTTTAACTACTCTTTGCCTCTTTGTCGAAACTGGCATTAAAAGGAGGCGAAGAATCAGTTAAACTTACCATTAAAATTGACGTTTGCAAAATTACCTGAAATAAGCTACCTGAAAAGATATAACTAACTTGCAATTCGAATCCAATTTTTCATGTTATATAAATGTGAAAAAAAAAAAGTTTTAAATCATTTGTCACATTTTCATTCTTATGAATATATCCTCAAACATTGTTTAAAAAATGAAGATATCTAAAAGAGATCGGAAACTTCAAATGTTTTTAGACATTTTCATACGTTTTTTGGACTTTCGTGTCATTTAATTAGACTCGCGTTTACGTGTCTATAATAGAATAATTCAATCAACATTAATCGTTAGTCAAGTTGAGATAAAACAGATAAGAAAGAACCCTTCGACCGTCGGGAGAGCCGCGCGGCTCTTTCGCTTCGCATTATGGCGCGGCTTTTGCGAAGAGATCCCGAAGAGCAGATTCGGGATCATGTTCTTAATATTCGGAGACGTTTAATGGCGAGACCCGCTCGAGGGGAAGGAAAAAGATCTCAGGCCGGCGAGGGCGACGGCGTAAAACGCCACGCGCTCGCATTTCGCTTGTTTCTCAGGAATCCGCGGAGAAACGTAGCAGCGACGTGAACCAACGCAAGGACGACAATTGTCCTCGTCGTCGTCTTCTCAAGATTCGACGGCGGTGGCTGGCTTTCTCCCGTTCCAGACGTTGAAGGGGGGACCAAGCCGATCCGGGGGGGCGGTCAACATCTTGCAGGATCGAGGGCGATCGCGTGCGTGCCGGATCCTCGGGACGACTAGGACTTGGCTTTTTCGCTCTGTGCCTTGTCGAAGCCGTCGATCAGCGTCTCGATGATGAACTTGATCGTCAGCTTGTAGATATTCTCCACGTTCTCCGAATATCGGTCCTCCAGCGTGCGTTCCACCGCATCCAGAAACGGCTTCTCGATTTTCTGAAAGCAGAACGTTCGATCGCGTGTGAGAACAGTATACTTTTGCTGGTGTACATTTAAAACAATTTAAAACAATTATATCAATTATTCGATAAAACAGCGACGGCCCTTGGGAGATTTAGGTCTGTATTATAAAATTTGCGATTCGATTAAAACTGAAAAAGAATCTTAGTATATTATTATTCTTAGTTATATATATTATTTTAAATGTTGTTTCAAGTAAATAGTCATTCAGTGATTACTTTTGGTGTAATGCTAAAGTGGAAATGCATTTGTAACAAGAAGGGCTGAGAAAACTAATTTTGCAAATTGATTCCATAGTTCTATAATACTCTTGTAATTCTTTCTTTCTCCGGTTACTTCACTTGACACGTTTGTGGACGAAGGGAAATATCTAGAAAAATATTCCATTTGTTTGCTTCAGATTTATCTTTAGCACTGGTGAAATTGAAACTACGGTCGTTATCGTGCAAGAAGATAATATTGATACGCCGAATATTTAGGCCTTGATTCATTTCCAGCGGCATGATCGCCAACAATGCGAGAACCGGCGATTGTATCGACGATTGTGTTGCGATTGTCATATCCACGGCTCACACAATGGCCCTCCTAGGATTGTCCGGCAGGAATTATCAATCCTATACAGTGACTAAATCCACTAGACTTTAGACGGGAAAGGATAAGGCGAACCGGGTTTGATTTCGTGCCAAGAGATTGGAACTGTAAACAAGCGTTTCGTACTGCGAATAAATGCGACATTTCGTAATGTGAATCTTCAATCTTCTTTGCAGATAACTGCACTGTGCAGATAACTTGACTTTCTTTCTATCCGAGAGATATAAAAAAAACTCAGAATTACGTAAGCGCTAAAGGCTGCATTTTAGAAAGAACTAGATAAGTAACAAGAGTTGTCCTCGATCGAGATTAGTTCCAAAAGAAAATATCTCACGCATGAAATATATGTATTACAAGTTATTATGATTAACGGTGTTTAAATATAGAATTATATCATATCTTAAGAATATAATATTGCTTTTTCATCTTGAAATTCTACTTCAATAAAATACCTTCTATTTCCATTTTCAACCACATTTTTAAGTATTCTTACGCTTGCCTTTTTCTATATAATTCTTTTATTCCTTTCCTTTGGCGAGAAGATAAAGCGACAGGGAAAGAGCTCCCAGCACACGACTTTCTTTTCACATGCACAAAGAAAATTCCGTTTCGATCGTCGCGAAAGTCATAAAAACTTGCATGCATATGCGAGAAAGTAGAGAAACGTTATTACTTTTGCGTACCTGCATTGGGGTGCTCTTTTAACGATTTTTTTCTTTTCAACGTGAATTATTACTTTTTATTACCGCATTTTACCGCATCCATGTCAATATATATTGTTATTTATATTTTTTACACCAACTGAAATTTATTGTTACGTGTAGCATTATTTTTATAAGAGCATGAAACTCAAATATTATTTTTTTTATCTTTCTGGTGAGGAAGATTAAGTTGGAATGTGTTTATGTATGAATTCACCGATATATGAGAAAGAAAGATTTATTGGATGAATAAAATTGACGTATGCTTTCGTTCAAACACAAGTCTATTGAGAAAATCATATATATTCAACGAAACGCCAGTTGATTCAACGTGTACGATTAATGCAATCATATTGGGAAAATGCATTCTCTCATTAAAATGTAATTACTCAATGAATTCGACATTTGTTTGTACACGGGCAGCTATCAAATTTATTCAACCAAGTCGAATGATTAACTGTGTAACATTCGATTATATATGGCCGAAACGTCGGAATTTCCGCCAATTTTCCTCACTTCAATCATAGCAAAAATGTAATTTCGTGTTGTTCAATTATTTAATGTTTCGCAGCGTATCGATTTGTGTTCGCGTTACAATCGACTCGGATGTCAGAAAAGTTATCGCATCGATTTTCATATTCTGCGTTCGCAGTATTTTCGACTGAACAGAATCGTAAGTAAAGTTATGGAATATTTACAAGTCCTATGAGCAACGGCTGCCCTTCTTCCAGGCATCTCTGATGTAGTTTGCATCAAATCGAAGTCATGTATTATTTCGAGTTGGTCTCTCTTAAAATAATATTCATGTATTTTACAAAGACATTTTGTTGAAAAAAAAGTTTGTATCTTGTATTAATGTGTTTATATTAAAGAATCATTATGCAATAAGAAACATTCGTGCAACAGAAATATGGTTTTTTTTTTGCAAACGACCGAATACCGTATAAAATAAGATTTTAACGTATCTTTATATTTCTTACGATAATTTTTATATTTATTTTAGCAGTTGTTCCCGAGTCGTTGAACGTAAGGCTAATTAAAAAAGAATTTTTTTTATTAGATATCATGCAGGGCAACGTGGCAAACAAATGGCGGACACCAGCTGTGCAGCGGATTATGAAAGACCATGAAGGAACAAAATACCGACGTGTTATAGCGATGTTACGGGATAAAATCTCAACATCTGTTATCCAATCTCTCTTGTTGCAAATTTCTCTTCTTTACAAAAGAACGGGATAAATTTCGCGAAAAAATGTAATGCGTACAGTAAAATGTTGAACGAGAAATCGCGTAAAAAGCAGAATATAAAATTACATTTTTAATTAACAGTACGAGTTCATAATCCCGTCCACTCTAAATTTTAATGTATACTGAACTAAAGATATAAGATTACAATATTTTTTAAATTTTTTAAAATAATAAATTTGATGTTAACCCTCCGTGTGTAGGCTTAATATCAAATTAGGTACATGTCTTTTTTTGTACTTTCTCAGTGCACACGTCTGTCACGTCCGAATATTTTCCCTACCTTAAAGAATTTTAAAAAATTCATAAAACATCGTAGTTGGCGATTTTATAATCATTTTAATAAACATCGTTTTTTAAATATTTTATTTTTAATAAACTTTGAAAGAAATGGGTTTCTTTAAAAATGTGTAACTTTTTCTATGCAGAAAAAATCCTTTTAAGGTTTTTCACTTCAGAAATGCGTAAAAAAAAAAATAATGCAGATATCTTCAAAAAAGTTTAATTATTCAGGAAGGTCAAAATGATACTTTTTAGTAGGGCAAATCGTTAATAAAAAATTAAATTATATAAGTTAAAAATTATATATAACATGGCATATGCGACATTTTTCAATAATTTATTAAAAATTCATATATGTAGAAAAAATAGAACACGTAGAAAAAATTTATAAAGGATATTTGGTTTACATTTTTATTCAATGCAATTGATACATATCATGCGCCGATGCTCCTCACAAACCGCTCTCCCGCACACGTAGCAGCACCATCCAACCTTTCGATCCAGTTTCGTTGGACACATGCTACACCGCTTACGTTTCAACAGCTTGTCCGTTTTTGAAATGCCCGGTTTTGGATTGTCGTCTACTCCTAGAATTTTTAATATATTCTCCTTGATATCCCTGCGGAGTGTCGGCATTTGCGCTCTCTCTCTTAAATAAGGTGTCACAAGAGCTAAGACAAGCTCTTTCATAAATTCTCGTTGATCTAGGACTGCATTTGTAGGAAGTAAATTGAACAAAATGCCAGAATTGACTCCTGCTTGGTCCAACATTCCCATGAAGAACCGCATGGGCCATCGCTGAGTTCCTCTCGAGCACGAGTATAAGCTGCAGAACTGACTGAAACCATTTGTGCCTTCTTTCGTCCGATTATAAAATTCAACAATTTGCGGCCTACCAGACACTGGATCAGATTTTCCATTTTGATGCAATGACGAAAGCAGCAGCACGACTTTATTTTTTTTGGGACAGTAGGATATCAACGTTTTTGTGGAATCATAAGCATAACGTACAGTACCTGCCGCTGCGGTTCTCTTGAACGATTCCGGTAAATGTTGCTTATTTTTACTTATTGTACCAACCATAGATAGCGAATATTCTTTGAGCATCTTATCGAATATTTCTATTGATGTAAACCAATTGTCACACGTCAGAATACGGTTTGATCCGTAAATAGGTTGACATATAGTTCGGACGTAGTAGCTGGGAATACTTTCATCAGCAAGCGTGTTTTCTTTCCCCACGTATGGAAGAGCATTATATAAATAATAAGTTGTCGCATCATTCAGACACATAATCTTAATTCCATAACGTTCCTTACTTTTTATATAAACTTTTGCCGGGAATTTGCCTCGAAAACCGAATAGCTGCTTATCAACAGTCATTTCCTCAGAAGGTGTGTAATTCGTCATACAATTTTGTATAAATTTCTCCCACAAATCTCTTATAGGAGCCAACAAATCATGTTTTCGTCTTTCTGCGCGAGTATTTTTGTCGTCGAATCTCAATCGAGCAGCAAGGAATCCAAAACGACGGCTACACATTACTGCCTTGAACAGAGCGTGACCGAATTCCGTTGACCACAGTTCTTCAATATTCACATGAGCACTTTTTTTCACGCCGGCAAAATACAAGAGTCCTATGAATGCTTTTATTTCCGTAGCCGTAGTGCTATATGTTCGATCATTTGTGGACATTTCTTGCACGTGCCTTTCTATTTCCTTATTTGTGTGCTGCACTATCATATCAATCATTTCGTCCGTAAACAAACACGACCATGTCTCTACAGGTGAAGAAGCGTTGACAGCACCATTCTTCGGAGCCGGTATGTAGATTACAGTTTTAGATGGTTGACCTCCAGTCTCAGGAGCCCGTAAACACCACTCGTGCTTATTTTTTCCGTAAACAAACGATCTCTGGCGACGAATAGTTGAAGTCGCTACCTGTTCAGATTCAGACAGAGCCGCTTCTTCCTCCTTAATTTGATGAAGATCTTCCTCCTTAATTTCAAAAAGACTGTCGTCATCATTATCGAATTCCTGCTCTGTATCTGACGTTTCTTGATCTTCGACGATGTCCTCTTCATCCGAAGGATCATCTCCAAACAATTCTTCTTTGATCTTTCGAGGTCGAAACGAGTAACGAGCTTCGGCCGCCGTCCGAAATTCCATTTTGTGACAATAACTAAATAGAGAAGCAACTATTCGTTAAAATCTTTTAAGAGGACATTGTTTTGACCAAAAACAACATAAATCAGTGGTCAGAAAGTCAGAATTAGCATTCAAGACGAGAATTTTTAGTGCTACGTCTACTTCTCTCCCCTTGACTCTCCACTCGGCTGGCGAGCCCTACAAATGACGAGCACGCCGCGCCGCTCAAGCACAAGATTGTCATATGTCCGCAGGAGCTTGCGAGAGGCGCAATTATATTAATTTTGCACCTGTATACGTTTTTTTATCTTTATAGTGCATACGTGAGTCTGTCGCGTCTGACGTTATTTTCCCTACCTTAAAGTTTTTTAAAAGTGTTAAAAAATTCACAAAACATCTGTCTACATTGTAGTTGACGATTTTATAGTTATTTTGATAAATATTCGTGAATTTCCATTGGAGCTTATACTTCAAATTTTAAATCATTTACTTAATATTTTATTTTTAATAAATTTTGAATAAAAATAAAGGAAAGAAAAGGATTTCTTTAAAAAATTGTAATTTTTTTCAATGCAATATTTAAAAAAATCATTAAAAATTTTTTTACTTTAGAAGTAAGTGTTTAAGAAAAAAAATAGTGCAGATTAATACCTTTAAAAAAGTTGAATTATTCAGGAGGGTCAAAATAACACTTTTTGGATAGCGACAGATCCACGAAAATTATTGACAAATAAAAAATTGAAGATAAAATTATATATAATAATATAGTATGGTATATGTGATATTTTTAAATAATTTATTACTTTATAGTATAATATAATATGTAGGATATGTTGAAAAGAATTCGTCCGCTGAGCTTCGGTTGCCGTCCGAAATTCTATTTTTTACGAATAACTAAACTAAAGAAGTAACTATTCGTCGAAAAGGGATTTATTCGTCTTTTAGGGGGTATGCCACCTTTGAGCATGAACTCTTTTCACGATTTGTTTTAACATATAAGAAATAGAGCAATCGAAAATCGGCTTTAAGAGATCTTTTTATTATACATTGAAGTTGTAAAAATAAATTTTTTTGTATATAAAATACACCCTGTCAAAAGAGGCCGTGTGCGTCACGGGGGTCCAGCTGGTGTACATGATTTTGAATTTTAAATATATTTATTATTTGGCCAGTCGGGTCGAACAAAAACGACTTTTGTTTTGTATTTATTTACTGGCGAAGGAAGCTTCTTATTTTGTTTTTACATGATTTTGGCTGACTGGCATGACCTAGAACAGAAATCCAAAAAAATTCTTAATCTGTGATAGATTGGCTATAGAAGTACGTAGGATTTTTTAAATTGAATTGTTAGTTTTTTTTTGGGAACCAATTTTATACACGATTTTTCAGTGTAAATTAGGACACTTTTGTTCAAATTAGTCAATTTCGCAAAAATTAATATCTTTCAAAAATCTTAGGTACTTCCATAGCCAATCTATCACAGATTAAGAATTTTTTTGGATTTCTGTTCTAGGTCATACCAGTCAGCCGAAATCATGTACACCAGCTGGACCCCCGTGACGCACACGGCCTCTTTTGACAGGGTGTATTTTATATACAAACATGATTTTATATACAAAAAAATTTTTTTTACATCTTCAATGTATAATAAAAAGACCCCTTAAAGCCGATTTTCGATTGCTCTATTCCTTATATGTTAAAACAAATCGTGAAGAAGAGGTTAAATTTCATGCTCAAATGTGGCATACCCCCTTAAAGGGATGTTGTTTTGACCAAAAACAACATTTATCATAAATAATTGCAACATTGTTACTATTTGTTACAGAAAAAGATTTTCATAAACACGGTCAAAAGACGTGAAAAGTAGGAATTTTAAATGTCTTTATATAAAATGTCTTTATATCATTAAAGCAAAACATTTCTATAATAGTTTTTTAAACGTTATTTTATCGGAAAAGAAACATTCCATCGAACGTTTTTCGAATGGACATTTTTACTCTTGAGAAACGTTTCTAGAAATCGGTTATAAAACGTTTCGGACAAACGTTTATAAAACATTTCTGAAACGTGTATGTGCTACCTGGGTAGTTATTATAACAAATATATTCATGCGTATATAAAAATTAAAAAACAGAAGATTTTGATTTAAAAAATTCGATAAAAATAGATTATATACATATAATAATTAAAAAGAGCGCCCCTCGCAAGCTCATGCGGACATGTGACAGTCCTGTGCTAGAGCGGCGGCGTGGTCGTCAGTCGAGCGGAGAGGCAATGGGAAAGAAATAGGCGCGTAGCTCGAAAATCGCCTCGAATATACTAATTCCGATCACTGTGACCAGAGATTATTTATGTCATAAATAATTAGCAAAATTGTTACTTACAGGAAAAGGTCACGTTCAGCGCTTACGTGGGTTTGAGACGTCCGTGCGTGATCTAACTTGCTCGGCACTCGGCGACATATTGCTCTTTCGTAACGGCTATGGATCGTTGAGTCCCTCTCCGACCTACGTTTTTTAGAGAGGGGGAGCCAGAGAAGCCAGATTCAAGTTTCGACTAGTCTGGGCTGACGGAGCTTTCCCCCTCTACATACGCATACAAAAACGCTCGGTCTATTCGTGTGACGCGTGAGTTACACGAATAGACCGAGTGTCTTGTGTGCGAAGTAGAGGGGGAAAAACGCCGTCAGCCGAGACCAGCCTAGGCTTTGAGGGGAGCCAGGCAGGCAGGCTTGCCAATTTTGCCGTTACGAGCAGACGTTATTTTGACTCGGACGCCGTAGACCCGCGTATGCACACGGAAGGTTAAAGCGGTGCTGGAATTACCGACAGATCCTAATTTTCGCGCACATGCCATCTTTTAATTATTGTATATAACTTTTTTGCTTTCTCAACGTAAAGTTAACTCGTCCCTTTTCCGTTTGGGTGTATATTTCAATCCTGGAAAAGAATTTATAATTCTATATAGAATCAATAAAGCATGTATGTACGCGAAAATTACATTTTGTCGGTAAAACAGATGCCTTCAGCATCGTCTTAATTATTTCATTAAAAATAAAATAAAAGTCATAAATTATTATTCTTCAAACAAAAATTGATGTAAGTAAAAAAAAATATAAAGAGAGATCGTAAAATGATCTCCTCTATAATTAAGAGAGTGCGCAGAAATTAAACGTGCGACGTATCGCAAGAGTTAAACGTCCATGTACCTACATTATAAGAAAACGCAACGAAAGTTTGTTACGTCGAGTACTTTAATTGTGCATGAATCTCTTGCTCGGAAACCTAGGTCCTGAAATAGTTTCCCCAAATGTTTCCACTTTAGTCTCTCTTTGATTTCTATGTAGCGAGAGATAAACGCGGTACAAAGAGAAAATGTTCACCAAGCGATGGGAGATGTATCTCCGACGAGTGAGAAATTCTCGCGCGCTTTTCCGGTATATTCTGAGGTACTACCAATGTTCTAACGCGTAAGACAAGTCGAACTTATTTACGCAAAATTACATATATATTTTTAAAAAGTGATATAAATGTTCCAAAGTATTTTGAATTTCTAATCTAAGACCGATTACATTATTACCGAAAAATTACTTGATTATTGTAATTATACAATTAGTCGTCTTTTAATACTTTCGCGCTCAATCATTACAGTTTTTACAATCAAAATAGTTTTTAAAGTGTACCTACATCCTAATGTGCACACGAACCTTGAATGACCAAAATAAATCATTATCTTTATTATATCTAAGCTAATTTATTTCTTAATTCATCGAATGCGCGCATAGTTTCCTGTTAAGGAACTTCATATATTAAATCTAATCTAAATAAGTCATTATTATTATTATGTATATCCAACAATAAGCTAATTTATTTCTTAATTTATCAAATGCGCATATTTTCTCATTGAAAAACTTCATACATTAAAGCTAATTTTGTATTTAGGTACATTGTCCCATTTTCTCTCCCAGTCATATTACAATTGTCTTATTTTCTCCCTTAGTTAACAGTTCGATAACTGGGACACGTCCATCGCATGTTTATGCTGTGTCATATGCCTTGTATGTATATATGGCAAAGTGCGTGTGGGCGATTTGCATTTTCTTTCAAGGAGGACTCACCCAGAAATATTGCCGGTTGAAGCCGGGGATCTTCGTGTGAGAGGCCCCGACTTCGTGAAGGTACGTCAGGAACGCATCCATGTCGTCCAGGCTCTTGATACCTTCGTCGAGGGTGGACATGACCGTTTTCGCGTGCTCGGCCAGTTCCATGCTCGTAGACTGCTGCTCCTTTGTCTTTAGCTCCCGAAACTTCGTGAACATATTTAGCAATTCCGCGTTCTCTTCAAATAACCTAAAAGCATACGGTGTACAGTGTCGTTAGAGACGAGATTGCCGAGATCCTAATAGTATCAATAATTGTTTGTATCGATAAAATTCAAAATTAAATGTCATATAAATATCCGAAAATTTAATATATTAATATATTTTATTCTTTATATGTAAGATACTTACAAAATTGTGTCTTACATAGAAGATAGAAGAGAATATCTTAAATATATTTCCTTGTCATTAATTAAACTGATAATTACATAAAAAAAATTATTTATTATATATGTATAAGATCACAAACGCATGTTGGATTAGAAATTTAAAAATCAAGTGTGTTTAAAAAATTATTTAGTAAATTATAACTTATGATTTAAAATACGTAGTCGTCAAAGATAGCTAAGTTTTTATAGAAATAAGTTTGAGAAGAGCAAGGAACTTTCGATTAAAAATTCAAAAAATATAAAGTTAAATCAAAGAAGCGAAACTAAGTAATTAAAAAAACGTTGAGCGTTTTTATTAAACATTAACTTCCTCCGTTCTACAAGAACTGTAAATTTTAAACTTAATTCTCTGATGGTCGGAGACAAATCTTTCCCGATACTTTCCAAATGTATTTGGTGAGTCCCGAGATTCACACACACAAAATCTGCGTATAAAAATGTATCCCCCCAATTCCTTTTGAATGTCTGATATTCCGCGATGCCTTTTCACGATATCTTTTATTTTTCATTGATCGAAGGACGACCGGAGGGACAAACCGGGTGACATACCTTGAATTCTAAGCTCCACGTTATCTAACACCAGCATATACCAGGAGAGGAATCGATCTCTAAGAAAAGATGCGCGCGCGCCATTTGTTACAATCTTAACTCGTTCGCATCTATCTTGATTTCTTTGGAACATTTGTTTTCCTCTCTTTCATATGACATATGACACTTAATGCAAATAGATAAAAATATAACCATTGCTTTTATTTAGCGTTGAAGAGAAGCTCGAAATAATTTTAGCGTTCGACAGAATATGTCGAGGTATTAAACTGTTAACGAGTGCATGAAGCAGTGCGAGTAAATGGGAATTTATCGTTGCAATCTTCGGGCGCACAGGTCTCTCTTTCTCTTTCCCGTGCACAACTCTTTCGAGCTGCACAAAAATTTGATTAACTTTTTCTCTTCGAATTTTGTACTCGTTGACGTAACGAGTACAACGTGGGCCTCGTTATAGCAGCTCGACAAAAATGTTTTTGTTTCGCGGATGGCAGGTTGCTCTCGGCCATTCATGAAATACCTCTTTGTACAACGAGGCATTCCAATTTCGCGCTTGTCTATCTGGGAAAAAAATGTACGCGCAAGGGAGAAAATATAAACCACGTTATTTTATCTTTGATGGTTCCGACAGTTAATAAGTGCATGCCGCAGTCTAACGCACGAAGCATGAAGCACCCACTACACATTTTCTTTTCAGTCTGCAAAATATAATGTTTTTTCCGTTTTTACGCTTTATATTTTACAAACAACAGGGAATATAATAAAATAATGAAATTTTCTCTCCATAGTAATGTACGCGCGCGCGCGTATCTGCTTACATATTATCTCTCTGTATTATTATACATGCTATAGCTGTACTTGATAAATTTTTCCTGTGCGCGTAAAAATCGCAGAACATAATTAATAAAATTATATTATCTAAATGTATATGGTACAAATAAGAAGATGCAAGAAGTGATCCGCAGCATTTTTAGCTTTTATTCAAAGAATATACAAAATTAATTGGTATATTCCAGGAACTTGATGTTACCTCGAGGGAAAAAAATCGTCGCATCAGAAAGAAATCACAAGATCATCGATATTCAAATTATCCGATATCGCGTCAAGATTATTCCACGCGCGTATTTCTTTTTTGCGTCCATGTAAATTATCTTTCCTCGAGGAAAATGACATTTCGCGTGGTATCTGTCCACCGTGATTTTTCCACGGCATGCTCGTTTTACACTGTCGGTTACGGGGCCGAATTTTATTTTATCTCGGCGAATAAATGTCCGTGAAGAAGCAGAAACGAGCGCACGAGGTCAACACAATTTTGAAAACTCCGTAAATTCAAGTATATATGAAATACCCTCCAAGAAGATCGTTCACGAACGTATAAGTAAATAATACATCTTCGCCTCGGCGAGCCGGGAGCAAATTTAAATGAGGGACGTCGGTCCGAAGAGATATGTATAATTTAATTTTTTATTTACTTTAATTTAGGCGTTAAGTATATTTCATCTGTGTGTGCACGATAATTAATTAGATATGCCACGAAGAAAAATTCTTGCAAAAGTTGTATCCTTAATTGAAACGGTATGACATTTAGTTTTCACTTACAAACATTTCATTTTTACATCGCAATAATCATTGCAATATTAATTTTCTCTAATATATAATTATTATTAAAATATATATTGCCTGCTAAAATTTTCAATCTTTTTATTTATATATAATATTAATATAATTTTACTTATAAATCACTAAAAGTCGCAGGTGAGTCGAAAAATTATTAATATGTCTTTCTCTCTCTCTTTCGATAAAGCTGTACGACATATGCCATATAATAATTGAGCAAATATGATAGTTGAATCATCTTTGTAATATATGCAATCGAGTCTGTCTCTTATCGCGGTTCGTTATCTGTCCATGCTTCGCGCACATGCTTCATAAATCTCTGTAGATTGATTAATTACGATTAAATATAGAAAGCCCAGAGGCGCATGCATGACTGATGTTTTACCCTGCCGTCAGTTTATGACGTGTTAGTATATCTATATACATTTAAGCAATAAGGACCAACTAGTAAATCTCGATCGAAATTCGATCAATATGAATTAAATTTCTTTTGTCATCTCCGATTTTGGATAAAAAAAATTCTGCAATCTACGATATCCTTGAACTTCAGTGAAAACGCGCTTTTGACTGCTCGCGCTTTAAACGATAGGCAATTTCAAACCGAAGACGAGGGTTAAAGAGCGCGTAAACGCAGATTTGCATGTAAGTTACCGCGATGCAAATGGAATCGACGTGACTGAAGGGGGCCTCGACGGCTGACGGGCGCAAGTATTGACCGGGTACGGATATAATATTTTTAAATGTAACTCCCCGACGGGCAATAAACGGTATAACGGTATCCGCTCGGTAAGTTCGGCGGGTTCTTATCGTCTGGGAACGGATTGAAAAGTTTCGTATCGGAAATCCATATTCTCTCCCCGTGGAAGATGCTTAAAAGCGACGAGAAACAACGATACTGCTGTCGATTCGGCGCGCGCGCGCGCGCGCGCGCGCGACGTTAGTAGCTTTTCCATCGCGCTGCTCTCATAATCCGATAAAAAAAGCATCTAATGATCGATACGGCGACGAGTAATTATCAACATTGTATCGAACATTGATGCCGATGTCTCGTTGCAGCCGTTTCTATTCCTGCAATGACGTTCGATTATAAACATTTCTTTATTTTTTTTAAATTATTAAATTAATAATTTTTTAAATTATTAAATTAAAAATTAGTAATTTTCTTTCAATTTAATAAACGAAGAATCGACAAATATGACAAATAAAAGTGTTATACTTTGTTTTTAATACCAAAGAAACAGATGGGCATGCGAGATAAGATAGAAGAAATTTCAGATACCGACGTGTAACTCCGATCGATTTTCGCCGAGGTTCAAATATAGTAAATTAATTTGACTTAAGTGGAAACCTCTCCAAAGGACGTAGCGAACGCATCCGGATATTAACACGTTCGAGCAGAGCGCGATGAATTAAATGCCTTGTATTTCCATTAAGGTAAAATCCAGCTGCGAGCAACAACGCGTTCAACCGTTTTCTAATTATGCTAAGAAAAACCGGGCTTTAAAATCATTATAATATAATAAGTATACGTAAGCTAATCGCACCCAACATAAACTCTTTGAGAAAGAGCACAGATTACGAAATGCAAGGTATGTTTGCTAGTATTAATAGACGATGCTTACATTAATATGGATTTATTTAAATCGCAACGCGCGATCGTAATTTCGTATTTTATCGTTAAATTATATGTTGCAACGTGATTATATTGGATCTGTCTAATATATCAAATCGAGTGACATAAAATCGAGTATAAAATGTTGCATGAATGATTACCGATTCTAATTATTCCGAATGATATTGTTAATAAATTAATATTTATTATTTATTACTACCGCTACTCTTGATATCAAGAAAAATAAAACATATTTTTGGTTTAGCGAGATGTCACTTTGCGGATATGGAACGCATTAATAGTGGTGATCAACATCAGATGCAACAAACAAATATAATATTAACGGTTTTAATTATTAAAACGTGTATCGTGTTATCTTATTGAAAGATAAATATTCATTTATTAAATCCTCTGATCCGACAAAAGTAATTGACAAATGTACTTATATTTTGCTCATACACATTTATAAAATCGTTTAATTACACACTTATTGAAATTATTTGATCATCAGTAATGAATGATTGGGTAAAATATTTTATAAATGATTGGTGAATTTAATATTTCATTTATGTTGTCAATAAATAATAAAATGTCGAGCTTTGTATTTCCAATTTCGCAAAATAAAATATATCTGTATAGTTTCGCTCTTTTCACTTTTTCTTGTAATGCATTACTTATAAAATGCTTGTAAAAATTATATATTGTATTTTTTATTTAATTAATATATATTTTTTGGCACGTGATAAAAATAAAACTATAGGTACATTTTTTTTAGGTAATTATTCAAATACTAATTTAAAGCAAAAGCGATATGCCATTTTGTGCAACCTGTCATAAAAGTCTTTGATAAACAAATTGAAAGTTCAGTAACATGTTTGTCTTCGTGCTGTTATATTTTTTGATTTATGTATTTGCATGCATAGCGCTTCATATATGGCGAAAGCAACATTTTTTCTTTTAGTGACTGACAACAGTAAATTCATTGTAACTCACTGCACAACAATTTCTGTTTCAATTTGCCACATTTTT